TTGCAAGCATCAGCTGATTCTCAGCATATCCCAGTTTTAGGTGGGAACAGTCTGTTCAGCACAGCAGGTAACTCCAGTCAGAAATCAGAAATTAGATATTATATTCCTCAAGTTCTCTCAAGGTCTCTACCTAGCTCAGGTTTCTACATATGCTCAGCTCAGAGCTAGTATGCAGCAACAAGATTGGATCTACTGTAGAATACAATTGCTTCTTATAAATAAAAACTAAGCCACTGAAGGAGAAAGCTTTCTTTTTTATATACTCTATATAAAATGAAATGAGAAATGAGAAACCCTGATTCAATGCCTATTCAATGAATAAGAGATTCAGTCTAAATCTGTGACTCATACACTCCTCATTGAGGTTGTGCTATTGTAAAAGTTGAATGAAGATTTCTCAAATTACTTCTGAATGAAGGAAGTAAAAAAGAGAAACAATTCTGTAGCTTAATGCTAAACTGCTCACTTGCAAGTACACCATAGTTTCAATGACCAGTTCAGAGTTTCATGCTCACCAGTTACTGGATAAAATGCAGAGAAAGTTATGTATTTTTAGATAAACAAATGGCATTCTGTTCATTAAAGTGATTCTGTTCTTTAAAGAACAAGAGTGGGCTGAGTCCAGTTTATAAACTTAACACGAATTCAGCTCTAAGCATTTATATACTCAGCAGAAGATTCTGAAAAGTGAATAAAGGTTACTGCCAAACCTTGAGAGCTTCCTTTGAAGGAGCATATGGGTTTGTAGGAGATCATTCTGAAGAGCTGAGCTCTAAGCAAGTACTGTATATGATCACTAGTTTAGTTCCATGTGATTATCACTCTGAAATTTTAAATGAAATGATTACTGCAACTTGAGAGCTAAGCAATTAATAATTTTGCATCAATGACTGGTAGCGTGTCTTCTGTCCAAGAGGTTTTACTGGTCTGAGAAATTAGGGGGAAAGAAGGGAGAAATCATCCCTACTTTCCTCATATCTTTTCCAAAGACAGATATGAGCATGCTTGGCAATAGGGAAAGCAAAATATTATCACTTACCTGAAGAAAGTATGGTGCTCCACACAAACCTTCCATAACCTTTTAGCAGCCCGATGGTTTGGCAGTTTGAAACCAATAGTGCTCTCAAACTGTTCCAGCTGGAAACAATCCACAAATTAACACATCTCCTTAAATTTGCTATTAACTAGCAGGCAGAGTTCATACAGTTCCGCTACTGAAACAAACAATAATTGTCCTTTCATAACATTTCAAAAATATCAGATTTTCCAGCCCTTTAATATAATTATATTGGCTGGACTAGTCATGAAGGGTAATAACCACATTATCACTTCCTGTACTAATGACTCTTTTGTGAAAGCCAATAATACTTTAGTGTTCTTCGCTAGTTTGCGGACTATCAGCCCAGTGTATTTATTTTTAAACTACTAGAAGTAATTTTACTGCAGGTTGTGCTACACACTTTCCCTGAATTTAAAACAAGTCTGAAATCCATATTGCAGTGCTAATCTTATCTGACCTATTCATTAAAAAATAATTTCTGAGCAGAAACATTACATCTACATACCATCAGGGAGTGTAAGAACAATACATATGTGTCTGAAAACTACAAAACTACTATGTTATTTTACTGACTTGTAGACGTCAAATTAAGACGCTTCACCTTTTGAAATGGAGGAATTATCCCTGTTGGTGCAGCTTCTGTTATGTCACATAAAGTCTACCTACACTAAAATATTTTATTGACTTCTCCACTTAAGAAAAAACCCTTTTCAACCAACAGGCTCTGGAAATTGATTTGTGAACTTTATGTGTGCACACAAACACATGAGAAAATGCTTTGAGAAATTACAAGCTGTTTATAAAGTTGTGTGGGCTAATTTTTTTTTTTATGGAAACTTCAACAAAAAAGCATAATTAATATACTTTTAAAAGATATCTTTAAAACTTGTCTCATTGTTTCCAAGTGCTACAGTTGATTTTATATCAGGATAAAGTAAGTACATTCGTTTTATATAACGCTACAGGGGGGAAAAAAAAAATAAAGTGACCTGCCATTCGAAATTTTCACCCATATAGATCAGAGTAGCAGACAATACATAGGCTTCCCAAGGCAATTCAGGAATAAACTTAAATCCTTTTCCTCAGTCTAGCCCTGAAATGTCATTAGTTTTATTTATTCTTATAGCAAAAGCCACCTTACACATTTCTGAGTATAATTTTAAGAGCATTATGCAATTCATTATTTTGTTATGTACAGATTTCCAGTTAAAATATTTTCAAAATGTAAACCTCACTCCCTCAGTGACTCCCGTAAACTCATTATGGCATCTGAAAAGCAGGATGAGTTCACAATTTCCACTCTGTCTTACAGAAAGAGTTATTAAGTTCTACAGGATAACTCAGGCCTTTGGTTACACCCATACAGCTTGATGCCTTGACATTTAGTGAACAATTATACTCAAAGAGGAATAGAGGCTGGCTCTCCCCCAGTACTGTGGGTTTGTACAGACAGTAAGAGTGTGGCAGTGTAATTAGCTTTTCTTGTAAAAATAAGCTACAGGCATCTCCTAACCAAAAAAAAAAAAAAAAGAATTTTCTGATTAGTATTCATTCCCCAGCCAAAATAAGTAAGTACTAAATATAAGCAGTAGAATCTGAAGAGGAAAATAAAATGCTTATCCCCAAGCTTAAACACTGCTCAAAATCCAACATCAGCTTGTCAGGACATCTGGAAATAATCTGAGGATGTTATCTTGTTGGTGGATAGAAGTGTTCTCACAAAGATATGAAGAAAGGCATTACTTACTTCTGCTGGCCTGACTTTGATGTAAAAATTACTTCGCTTGTAGGAAATTTTCAGAATTTTTGGCCAAGCAAAGCGGTTGATCCGGAGTCTATCTTTGTAAATGAGCAGTCCATTAGCACATACACCCAGCATGATATCCACACCTTCAGAATCCTACCAAATAAGAAACAATTTCATAAAAATCAGGTTAATAACATTCCAAACAAGTAATTATCTCCAGCACACCTTAAAGGAAGAATGCAATTGGGATTTGTTTCATATTGAGATCTGAAAGACTGATAACAAGATTCTTGAAGCAGAAATAGCCAAGGAAAGGCTTGGGACTTCAGTAATGGCTTTGGCACTATCTGCATATGCCACAGTTCTGGGACACTCTTCAATATTTTGACAAAAGGGACTAAATTAACAGCTTACAAGCAAGGGAAGTATGGTGGTTGTGCAATTAAATACTTCAACAAATATTAAAAGGAGATAAATTTAAAACAGAGGCTTTTCCAACTTAAAATATTATATGAAAATCAGAGCAACTGGGTGATCATAGCGATGTTTTACATACACTTATTATTCCAATAAGGATATAGAAAACAATAGATAGTTGGCTGAAAACGTCAATATAATCACTGCAATCAAAGTGCTAGCTGGCAGGGTTTCTAAGCATTCTCGTTCTATTGACAGTATTTGAGCTGAATTTAGCAAGCTACAGAACCAAGCACTTATTGAAAAGGCTCGGATACACTGTATGACCACACAATAACACAGCAGAACCCGTGTCCTCCCAAACAACAAATCAACCATATGAAATGTTGACATCATATTGTCATTAAAAAGTTGCTTCACTGGCAGATCTCCAGCAGCTGCAAACAGACCCTGACAAACAGCAGTACTAATTCTTGCAGCTACTTCACTGTGGTAAAGGAAAGTTCCAAAAAACCTCTAAAAAATGAGAATTCGTTATAGCACTTCAGACCAAGTGAACTGCCATGCTGCACTTGGGTTAGAATATGAATAAATGTTAAAGACATATTTAACGTATGTGGAGAGAAATAAGCATATTTCTTTCAAATATTTCTAAGAGAACACAGGGAGAAGTCTAAGGAAAATTACAAAAACAAGTGTGCAAGAATACCCATGTTTATACTTAGCAGAACTGAACAATGTTTCTCATGTATTTAAAAGCTGTTGTTCTTTTTTAAATATAGGACTGATATTCTTACCATGCATGAATTTTCCTAACGACTTGAGACTCTGGATGTGCAGAAGAGGCTAGGGGAGTTTGGTTAGTTGGTTAGTTAGTTAGGTTTTTTTCAAATTAGAAAAAAAGTCCCACTGGAAATGTAAATTTGATTTCACCTATCAAAAGGTCCACCTCCCACCCCTTCCTTCCTTCTGTCTGTTTTTAATTCTCATAGTATTACAAAAATGATTAGAGATTCTTTTAGGCTTTATTTTGTGTTCCCAAGTCTCCTCAGCATCAAAAATTTGACATTTAAATTTAGCTATACTTATGAATAAAATACACTTTCCAGGCTGCAAGTATAACCATGTATTAAATAAATCTAGACTAAAAATAAATACTATGAATGTTAGATCTGTAAACTGAATAATTATTGTGACCAAGAGATAAAAGGCTTATACCTAAGATGGCAGGCAATGAAAATTTTAAATAAAGTAATCATATAGACTACATCTTTAATAGTAAGTATGTCTATCCTAAAACAAACAAAGAAAAATCCAATACCTTGGCATGATGTAAATCCACTCCATACATGGAGAGTCTCTTGGCGTTTTCTAGGAACTGGGAATCTGCCTGTGCTGGTGTCAAGCCCCTAAAACCATTGAATAAGCCTTGAGTTAATTGACAAAATAATTGAGATTCATAGAACACAGTGAAAACCTGAAGTTCAGACGTGGAGAAAAGCTTCAGTTTGGAAGGCAGCAAAAGTCTTTTTGCCCTGAAGAGGGATTATTCCTTCAAAACATATTATATCCCTTTAGTAGAGGTTTTCTATCTGTAGTGTTCCAAAATATTTGTAGATGTTGTCTAGCACTCTAATTCATATGCTGGGATAAACAACTATTTTCTCTAAATGTTCGTTTCTGATGTCTGACTTAGTGAAGCTACTATTTCTAAATTTATTTAAAAAAAAAAGTAATGAAAGAGAGATGCTCTAGATACTTAGCAAAAGACTTCCAAAGCAACAATAAACTTAATTTGAGTAGTTTTACACATCCTTTTAACAGAAATTTATAAAGGAAGTGCATGTTTCTGCACCTAGGGAGGAACAACCCCATGCACCAGTACAGGCTGGGGCTGACCTGTTGGAAAGTAGCTCTGTGGAAAAGGACCCAGGAGTCCTGGTGGACAAGCTGACCATGAGCCAGCAGTGTGCCGTTGGAGATAAGAAGGCCAATAGTATCCCAGGTTGTATTAGGAAGTGTTGCCAGCAGGTTGAGGGAGGTGATCCTCCCCCTCTACTCAGCCCTGGTGAGGCCACCTTGGGAGTACTGTGTCCAGCTCTGGGCTCCCCAATATAAGAGAGACAGAGCTACTGGAGCGAGTCCAGCAGAGGTCTACTAAGATGATTAAGGGACTGGCGCATCTCTCATAAGAGGAAAGGCTGAGAGAGTTAGGACTGTTCAACTTCAAGAAGAGAAGATGGGGTGTGGGTGGATTTTATCAGTGTGTATAAATATCTGAAAGGAGGCCATAAGGGACATAAAAAGCCAGACTCTTCTCAGCGATGCCCAGTGAAAGAATGAGAGGCAACAGGCACAAGCCAAAACAACAAAGTTTTGTCTGAATATAAGATAACACTTTTTTCCTGTGAGAGTTACTGAGCACTGGAACAGGCTGCCCAGAGAGCTTGTGCAGTCTCCATCCTTGGAGATATTCAAAAGCCACCTAGATAGGGTCCTGGGCAACCTGCTCTAGATGACGCTCTCCGAGTAGGCTGGTTGACCTAGTCACCTCCAAAGGACCCTTCCAACCTCAACCGTTCTGTGATTCTATGAAACGACATAAACGTGACAAAGCATGATGATTTAGTTTATTCCCACTGTATCTGACACACCTATGTGTTTTGTGTAGCTCAACTACTTTCTCTTCCATTTCTTGAGTTTGATTGGGTGCAAATTGGAATTCACTGATATAATCACTGCGGTGCTCCTCTGTGTCATGGTCACCTAATTCAGCCTGCAGAGTATATGAACCAAGGAGGGCATGAGTCACAAAAGAACATGGCAGTCGACCGGAAGCAATATCCTGACGAAGCTGCAGGCACAAGAAATATCTGCAAGATAAAGGAAAAGAAAACAAACAAACAAAAACAAGAACAGAGAAAGGGTTACCAGTGGCAAGATTTATAGGAAAGATGGCAGAGTTTCTTCACATACATGTGGTAACATATTTTTAAAAGTGAATGCATTAATATTCATTACACCTGATTTTATTTTTGAGCATTACTGCCACATAATAGATTGACTTCACATTTTGAAGAGTCAGTATTATTTTCATAAATAACCTGAAGAGGAAGAATTCTGATTTTCAGTCGAAAAAACCCACAAACAAACAAAAACCCCTACACATGTAGCTTGTAACAGGAGCTGACTTAGGAACTCCATGATTTCAAATTCCAGCCTGCAGGTACCTAAGGTTTACAAATACAAGATGACTATTTCCCTTGAAATTTCCCTTTGGCTTTAAAATTCTAACTTTCGTACTCTCCTGTAGTTCACTAGCTAATCAAGTCATAGAACACAAGAATTCTGTATTAGTGCAGCAGTTCATATTAATCTTCTTTAAACCATGCATGTATGCGTATTAGAATTTAATCTTTCAAGTACTGCACACAGCCTTTTACCACGTATGTCAAGTTAATCCTAATAGACAAACTATTCCCAACATAGATTTTAAATTTAAAAAAAAAATTACAAGCAAAACTCAAATTTTAAAGGAACTTATCTTTAGGCTACAATCGTAAGAATTATTTTATCAGTTGAACATGTAATTTAAAAGCCAACTGACTCACTGAAAATGATTTTCAAATTAAATACGGACAGCTTCTTTTAAATTTGCTTGAGTACTACAATACAAATGCCTTAGACTTTTTGTAGTTATGTATCAACTACAGGCTTGTGAGCTATCTTATTTTATGTACAAAACTAATCAGATGTGATGTGTAATCACATATACCCTGTCACAATGGACTTAGCTAACTCTGACCCAAAACTACTTGCTTAAGGTTTCTTTAAGTCCTGAAGAAAGGAAAGTCTCAATTTTGTATGCTCTGCCCATTAGTTCCATTAGTTTTAGAACGGTACCTTTTTAGGTGTTTGGAAGGTTCTTAGCATGCAGTGGGTACCACTGAAGAATAAAGGCAAACATTTTTTTCCATGTTTCATTATGTTTTAAGGGTTTATTTAATGTTTATGTAGAAAACGTTATTTTCAACAACCTAACTTAGATAATTACTAAAGTACTTGGGGCATTTTAAGCTTTGCTCTTAAAAACAAACCTCCATACTCCCATTCGCTATATACCAAAGCGGCAGTCTCACAATAAACCACTGTCTTCTTTCAAAACGATCATTCTCATCTTACCTCCTCCTCCTCCTTCTTTCCCCCAGAAATCACATCCCCACTTATTAAATTCCTCTTTCTATGGTTTCTTTCTGCAACTTTTAGTTTGCCTTTAGTCATTTGTGTTGACCTCCTTTCCCAATATGTGTTTGTCCACAGTCCCTTACTTGTACTCAGCAGCAGTTGCCACCACAGCTTCATCCCTTGAAAAGCTATTCACATTCACTGTTAACCAGACACTCATAACATAACCTTGTCCAGGTCATTTCTTGCAACGTTGACAAACGCTCTCGTTCCAACTGAATTCATTTCTGCTATCTCAGGATGCCTCTCATGCCATGGCTCTCCTTATCTCCCCGTTCCAAAAAGTGGCTGATAAAAGAACATCTGCAAGTATTCTACAGTAATAGTCAAATCTGTTATGGCATCCAGAAACCAAAGAAAAAGGTCTGTTATTTGAAGGCCTTAAAAAAAAAATTAAGTTTAAAGTTATGAACTATGCATACCTGGTGATGTCTTCGGTCAGCTGTGAAGGATCAGGAGGATAAAACTTCACATTAAAGGTGAATTGCCAAGGTAAACCTAAACATGGGAAATGCCTGATTGTTATTCCAAACAAGTTTAACCAAAAAGATAATCTTAGCAAAAAAATGTTAGGGAATCATGTAAATCCCATTCCTCTTTTTTCAGAGTATTAAAATCTTTTATTATTATTTTTTAAATAACACCTCTAGCAGCTTTAACAGCAACTGCACTACAAACTTGCTTTTATTCTAATGTTTTGGAATTGTTAACACCACCTGTATCTTTTCAGTAAAAGCATGCTTAAAAACAGAATAATTTGACAAAGCATGAAATGCTCCCTTTAGTCATATTTCTGGTTTTAATATAGCTTTCAGATTTTAAAAATTTAAATCACTCATAAATAATAAAAAACATTCTTGCAATATTACTTCATCAGTATTGTAATTTTATGCACAAGAGGAATATTTCATTGGAAAGCACCAATAACTTAACAAAAACCTTCCAAATTCAAACAGATTTTATTTACTGCAGTGCAGAGATACATACATAATAGATATCCTAAACTGAGAATTAAAAAAAAATGGTTCGTTTTTGCATGCTGCTTCAAAGCAAATACAGTTGAGCTTTTCCATATCTTGCCAAACATAAAGGTAGCACTACAATATAGTTCAGTCAAAAATAGCAAAGACAGATAAGAAAAGAAACTAAAACATTATCAGAACAATTAACTAGCTTTTTTGTCTCTCTTCCACTCCTCCTAATACAAATAATATTTTGTTAAAGGACTTACTGAAAACAATCTTCTATTAAAAAGGGGTAATTGTTTTATAAAGCTTGTTAATGATTAATTTTGAACAGTAAGTAAGATTTTAAAAACCTGTCTTAACACACAGAAAAGATCATGCTTTGAAAGATGTGCATTTTGACAAGAGATTTGACTGGTTCCATTTTCAAGATGATGCTAGGGAAGAGTGCTGACATTGTGTAAGGTTATTTTCTTTTAAATAAAACCACTTCAAAAGTCCAAAGCGGTTAAAAGTGAAAAGTGCTTTATCTTGGTCAAAGTTTCTAATGCATTTCAACACTTCAAAAATTAATTCAGATTTTCAGATTTAACTATTCACTGGAGCATTTTAATTTCTGTAAAATTAGAAGGTAAGGCAGGACTCCATAAATGAGAAAGCCTAATTTATCCAATGTACATATAGTAATTTGCTAAACATTGCCTCATTGCATATAATCTAGTCTACTGTAAGACAGAATTAGAAAAAAAATCTTGAAAAATTATATCTAGTAGCAACTTACACATACACCATGAACAAACAGAATTAAAGCCATAATAGATTAGCCCACTTCCATCATTGATTTCCCAGGGAGCTAGCATTATTTAAGGAAATTCTGCTAATTTTGAGTAAACAAAACTGATAAAGAAAAATAATTGGGACAAAAAAGTGTAAGGAGCACTTAGGGGAATGAAAGATGACTGACTAGTCCTTCCACAGAGGTACTAACCTGTTTTAACACTGTTTTCCTGAATGGTAAGAAGCATTTTGCCTGGTCTAAGTTGCAGTTGAACTAGTCACAGATGAATTGCTGGTTAACCTGTTTGTTTCTTCTGATTTCTACAGTTACTTTTCTGAAAGAACAGTAACCAGGAGACCTGGACACTGTTCAAAAAATCTACATTCTCTACAAAAAACTGAAAAGAGCATAAATCCTCTGAATCTACAGACTGAAAATTTCAGATGTCTACTCATACTAATTCCCATAACTAATCCATAGATAAAATGTTTTAGTTGACTTTCTACTAAATAATCTCTGGACAGTTGGTAGACTTATATTTTACCTGATTACTGAAAGCACATTTATCTTCTGAAAATAGACTAGCAAGTATATTACACTGTTAGCATACAGTCTATTTTTGTGCTTCTCACTACAGCATAACAGTTAGAGTCATGTAACAGAGCCATACAAAAAAAATAATTGTCCTGATATAATAATGCACACTATTACTGGTGCTTTGAACTGGCGGTCAAGACGAAAAACCAGATCTGATATTTGAAGTGACATTTAGCATTCTGTCCCTGATAAGGCTCTCTGGATGCTTAACACCACGGGTTACAGAAACATCAAAAATTTTACTAGCCAGCTTGTTACCTCAAAAATGCTTCTGAGGCAACTTGAGGAACATTCTTAGAGAAGAATGCAATATAACCAACTGACAGCCTACAATTAGCATGATTCATCCCATTCAAACTGGGAAACCAGTGGGTTTTTTATTCCAGTAGAGGCTTTCTGCGTCCTTTACTCATGATATTTCTTTGTCTCAGCTAACATTTCTAGGGTACTGTGCAACTAGGACAGATAAACTGCACATAGACAGATGTAAAAATGCCCCTCAAAATTAAGAAAATTACCACTTCTAAGATTTGGCTTAAATCACCTTTAAGAACATAAACAACATAAGGAATATCCATATCCAGTCCACACTGTCAAAATTGTGTAAAGCGTGTAAATCTCAGAGTCCAGCCAACCTTATATCACACTGACAGCATTCAGCTCAAACTCGGATATCTCCATATTGCAAAAATCTTTCTGTATAATTAGTGGAGACAGAGGCACTTCCACAGGACAACTATTCTCTTAGCACATGGTGTTGCAAAATTCTCAGATCATCCTCACATGACTTTGATGAATTTACCACCATTTGATACGCTGCCCAATTGGAAAATACACATACTTAATTATACCATTAGCCTTCCATACCACCTTCTTTCCTGAGCAGTAGGATGATTAGGCTGTATTGCACAATATACCATAGACGCAAAAATGTCAAAGGCTTATTTCAACTCCACTCCTAGGACTGCTTTAGTTTTTGGCTACATATGTCTCAAAGAGAAGGTCAGTATCACATCAGGGTGTTTTTAAGTTCTCCAGTATGAATGACTGCCCATTGACAATAAGGATGTAGAGCACAGTCTTCAGAGTGAATGAAGAACAACGTTTGAACTCATATCTCCAGATTTGCCACAAGCTGCTTTAACTATTATACTACTATATCCTTTCCAATCCACTTTCCATAGAATCACAGATTCCCCTCATCCCTTCAACAATTAAACTGAATCAAGCAACAAGCAAATAAAGCTTTCTGTCTTAATTGCTTCATTTATCCCTTCCTTACTAAAAAGGAAACAACCCATCCCTTTTCTGTCACCACCACAATTATCTCTTTTCTTAAGTTCTGAAATGGATCCTAGTGGGCACAACTAAATTTCAGAAGTCTACGGTTGAATAAAATTATCTACATTGGACACTACTGGCTTCCTTTATAGCCAATGAGTGAAAACAGGCACCTGCAAAGGGTGGTTTTGTTCACCTCTCAGGTACCTATCTTAGAATGAGATCAGTCACTTCCTAGAAGTGCTATTTCTGCAGAAAATAAGAGCAATTACCTTAGGTGGACACAGTTAACATTAGAGTACTCTGTGTACTTCTAAAAACTTTCTAGCTAAATAAGTATTCATTTGACAAAGGACAAAGTGAATATATTTTATAGTTACTTCAATAGCAAAAATAGTTAAGTGTATCCCATATCAGGTGATAGTGCACAATAAAAGAAAAAAGCAGTCTGTTCCGCCTTCCGAACATGCAAATCCTCTCCATTTCTTGTCAAGTGTACAACACAAGATATGCAATATAGAAATTTTTCTTTCATAATAGAGGTTTTTTTTGGCAATAAAAACACTCATCCTGTTGCAGACTAGAAATAAATAGATTTAACGGACTAAGATTAACTTGGATTTAAAGAACTATTCTACATACACAAATTTAATTCCTGCTTAGAAGAGCATGAAATATAGCCACACACACAAAAACAACATGTCCCAAGAATAATTTCAAAGTTTGTGTGAATAAAAAGATAACTGGCTCTATAAAGAAGTTGCATATAATTAAAATATTTTTTGTGTACACTATATTAATATTAAAAAAAGGTTATGTAAATATATCCAGAAAAATTTCTGGCCAGCTGTCACTCTTCAGATTCATTACACCTATTTGTAGGCAACACAGCATGCATATCACCAGAGATGACAATGATAGAAAAGAATCAATGACCTCAGTCTTTTGATAAATATTAAAACCAAACAGAAGTGCCTTCAGCCTGCATGCCTTTACAACAGAAGTGTTTACTGAAGAACCAACAGTTATGCTGAAGGAGAAATTGCAATGCCTGCAACTTTTTAAAAAATAAGTTTTAAATAAAAATAAATTTTAATAAAGAATCTTTTATTAAAATAATTATTTTATTAAAATAATTTTATTTTCTATTAAAAGAATATTAAAATACTACTTCATTAAAAATATCTTTATTTATTAAAGGTTTATTAAAAGAATAGTTACAGTTGGCTTCTACTTGGATAAATATATTAGTACCTTCAACATTTTAATAGGACTAGTCTGCTTGTACAACAGCATGTTCAATTAAAAGAAAAAAAAAGAAAAAAGTCTCCAATGACGCTAAAATAACTTACATTTCATTACTGAAAACATAAATCATACCTTCCTCAAAATAATAAGAGGTTTTATCAATTTTGAAAGGTCTACAGAAACAGAATTAACAGCACTACCATTTTCTGAAAAATACGGCTGTTAACCATTATAAAGAGTCCTTCTGTTCTTAGAAACAGGTGTTCCCGCAGGGTCATATGCCCACAGGAAGTTCAAAGTCCATTTCTCAAGTAACTTGCATTTTTGTGTGTGTTGGAAGTGTAGACACACAGATCTTATCACCATCATCTCTCTATAAAATTTGCATTCTCTCCCCATTTACATTTCCTACTAGGCACTAACAAAAGGATGCTTCCCCTAAGAGAAAAAAAAAAGGAAGAAAAAAAAGTGATTGGCTGTAAGGGCTGTCTAGCAGTTCTTAGTGGCTACCTGAGATTGTTAAACCCAAGGAAGAGTATTTCTTATAGGCTTACTTTCCATTCACTCCCCTGACTACTACAAAAGCTATCTGGCTAGTGAAGTACTTGACAGTTTTATTTAAACAGAGTTGAAATAAATTACTTGTTGTCTACTGAGCATGGGAAGCAACAGCAGCTCTCTCGCATGGATTCAGTCTGGAAAGAGTTGTGGGGGGCAGGTCAAGGTTCCAAGATCACGCTCTGTGACTTTGGGGAATGATGCACACAAAGTCAAGGCTGGACTGATCGGGTTTGAAAAATATACATTTTCTGTAAGACACAGATTCTCTTTTTATAGCTTCATATTATTCTGGTGAGTCTTTAAAAGTTAGCAAGTCCTACAGTGAGGACCATGATCATCTCTGCAAGATGATGTTCTCCATTTCACAACACCAATATCAGGATGAAAGCTGACAAACATCTGCTATTTCAGGATGCAAAAAGATCAACTGATTACTTGCATACAACACAGGAACACGTTGGTGGCAGCAGCTGGTATACTGATTAACTTCTTCAGGAAAATTCTGAGTGATTATTTCTTTCCTTCTTATAACAGAAAGCAAAATTTCTATTTCTGTCCAAGGCTGAGCAGGTTATCAGATATGAGATCTTTTAACGGTGTAAGTATACAATTTAGTCATCAATCAGACTACTAACTTTAGAAAAAAGTATTTCTGTGCAAAAATAGAGGAACATAACAGCTGAATACAAAGTACTTACTTCGAATTTGTCTTTTAATTTCCTTTGAAGGATCTAGCCAGTTCTGAAAAAAGAAAACCAAAACTATTTAAAATCATTTCAGACTAAAGATGGTGATGTAATTGCTTACATCTCAGTTAAAGTTTATATTTTTCACACATCTGTTCTACTTAAAAACAGCCAAAGAATCCTAAAATTAAACATTATTTGCTAGTAAATCTGCTTCCATGTGCATGTAATTGATGCTATGTAACAGTTCATGGTCATCTTACTACCTTAGACTATGTTTCTAATACTGAAAACTGGATAGTCTTCCAGTGAAGGTCTCCCAGCAAATCACGTTTGACAAATGCCATTTTCTCATAGACTCCTTTTATTGACCCAAGTAAGCATTTCCAGAAGTTTCTAATCTCTGAAGTTACTGAAGATGAGATTTCTCTTGATCTCCAGAGATTTATTTCTCCTCTCATTTGTATGTACATTCTAGCTCCGATAGCATTCAAACGAGCTTGGAAAACACTAATCAAACTACAAGTTTTTTTTCTGACCTCCCCCAAAGCAAAGTTCTCTGAATAAGTATGATGTCAATATTGATGCACACACAAGGTTCAAGTCTAGATGCTCAGCTCTACTTTAGGCAATGCAAAATAAAGTTGTCTTTTTTTTCATATTTATCTATCTCACTATTAAATGTTGTTCTTTAACACCAGAAATATTTTGCTGTAATTGCTACAACTTAAATAGCTCACAGCATTTCAGTTAAATAACTTTTTTTGTGACTGATCATCCAAAATATTATTTTGGGAAATAGGACCGAGAAATTAGTAAGGTATATTCATCAGTAATTCAACCAAACTTGTTTACTAATTTTACCTATAGGTTTTATAAAAAAGATTGGGTAAGATACTAGAAACATAGGCCTTTCAACTGCAGTTACTGAGAATTTATGCAGTTTTATACATTTATTTCCACCAGCCAGACACACATACACATGAAACACAAACATACACACGTAGTAAGCCCTGCTGACAAACTGTATTTCAAGAACAGATGCACAAAGTAGAGAAGAACTAGCAAGTAACTTCTACAGTCAGGGAAAACGTTTGCATTTCCACAATACACTGCACATATTAGCAGCTTTAAAGCCAGAGGGGACCTCAGTGCCAGCACAAATGTTGCCAAATAGGATCCCTCTAACAATATATTTCCTGCTTAACAATGGCCGGTTCCTTTATACCCTTTATATAGGGTATAATATGACTCACCTTTCACACTGTGGTGCCAAACCCCAGACTGCAACAACTGTATCATATTCTTAAGAGTCTTTTCAACTCAAGGTTAAACTATTTCAAGGAGAAAACTAATTTCAAGGAGAAAGGTTTTATGGGCCTCTATAGATTAGAAGAACATATAACTATTTGATAGTTTTGCCCTAGTGCAAATCCTTAATGTAGATAATCTCTCCTGGTAAAGAATGAGGCTTTATCAAAATGACTCCGTATACTAAGTACCTTGTTGTAAATGACTTTGATCCAAGCTAATTTTGTCATCAATGCAGCATGTCTACATTAGATAAATATTATTTACCAATTAAATTAAAAATAAATTATTTAAATATCTAAGTAAAAATACAAGAATAATTCTACGTTTCTTACTTTCAAAAGCCTGCAGCTTCTATATTTCATAGCTATTATAATTCTCCCAGAGCTATACAGCCATAACATTGTTACATAACAAGAGATACAAAACACTTCTCAGAAAAATCTGGGCATCATTCAAGTTACTTAAAACAGGAAAACTTATCTGTTGGAAGAGCCTTGACATGAAAATGCCTTAGAAGTCAACAGAATTCTTCAGATAATTTTAGCTGAGACCCATTTCAGCTACAGTATCATCCTAAGTTTTCAGTTAGAAAGCCATAGTCAGAAAGTCCTTTCAATTACCATGAAACGGTAAGTAGAAATACCTTAAATTTTTGCCTTTTAGATAACGAAAATAAGTACAAAATAATAGTATGGCATAACTATAGCTGAAAATTAGGATGCATAAGTGTGTGACTTTCAGCACTATCATTATGAAGTAGGACAAAAGATCATGCAATGCAAAACATGCTGCAAAATGAGAAGGCTAATCCTTTCTTTATAGGAGCTATACAGTTGATTTTCCGTTTCTGAACCTGGAATCAGCTTATTGGAAGCAGATTTTGCCACCAACTTTCATTAATGCCCTGTCAAATAAAATCAGATGTTCATATTCAATTTACATGCATAATTAGAGCCTTTTTTCTATCTGTGCCATTTGTTATGGATAAAATAAACACTATTGAAAGAATTAACCCTGACATAGACCTCTTAACTGCAGGATAGGCAGATCTGTCTTTCAGCCAAGAACCTGCAACGTATGCGCACTATTTTGCTACAGTAGGGAAGAAACTATCTGTTAAATTTGTAAATGGTGACGTTACAGATGAGACAAAGTGTTCTCTACCAATATAGAAGTATTTTGTGCAAATCCAGAAAAGGAGCATTCCATCCGGTGCCCAGAAGATAAGAGCATAAGCTTTCCAGGGCTTCAGCAGACCAAGTACAGTGTGAAGGAAACATTTATGAACTTTAGTGATTTCTCCTCCTCCCTGTCATGTTTCACAAATGTCAAATTCATTTGTTTAAAGCTTAGACAGTGATTTTATTGCACTACACTCACAAAGCAGTGTTAATGGCTTTAAAATGTGTATTAAAGCTAATGAAATTAGTCTGGTTTGATGAGACAATACATCTCTGCCAGCTGCACAGAACACTGATATGGAAAAATTAATAGGATTCCTCTCTCCAATGGTACCCTGATGGTGCACTAGAGAGCAGCTCTAATTCAAAAGTGTGCCTGGCATTCAGTTTCCACACCCCACAGCTGCAGTCTAGTATAACAGCTGGCTCATAAACGGATAGCTGTGATAAGTGCACAAGGAGGAAAAAACCCTACATCATTCATCAGCATTCAGTACTAACTGGGCTGGAGGTCAGAGATTTGTGGCATTTTAATCTGAGAGGACAACAGCCATATCGTGGGGAAAAAAAGCATTAGAAAACTAGTGCTGAGACCAAAAAAAATTCAAAAAATCCTAACATAGAAAGATGAACAGAGAAGGCCAGTCCCTAAAACCGGTGAAAATTCCAAGCCTCCAAACCTTATTGGTGGGAACTGCTGAACGAAATGAATCACCCACGCATACACAAGAAAGTTATAGCTGTAAACAGTTCCTACCAGCGAGATCAAATTTCCTTGAATTTACTCTTTTTCTACTTGTCTGTCACTTTGTGAGCTTTAGAATTCTTTTAATACTGCTAGACGATATAAAATTTTAAGCGCTTACGAGCGGGGAAAAAAACCCAACTTTCACAAAGAGCTTTAGCAAAACCATATGAAATATGACTTGCAAACCGCTTAACTTTACATTTTTGTTTGCCAAAAAAAATTTCACTGACATTCTATTAGAGTAATCACAGTAGGAAAATAGAAAACTGGTTGCAGATGGTCCATGCATGCACCAAGATTAAGTAAAAGTGAATGACAATTGATCAATGTCTCAAAGAATCTGTCAAGTTCTGAGAAGTCTAAGAATTGCTTAGCTATTAAAAAGTTCCAGAAAACTCCAAAATTATGGGTTTTTTTCCATTTTTGACTTCAAGTCGTTCTACAGCCTTGAGTCTACCTCAGCCTTTTTGCACCTGACCTGCAATTTCCCCATCTCTGTCTTTTTCCCCCCACCTTATCTCTTATCAGTTTATCAACATAGTCAATGTGTGGCACAGGAGGCTAGATACAAAAAAAATAGTCTTAGAATTTTACTAGTTCTCTGATGAGTTGTTGCTGCTTATGGGTAGCGATCATAGCATACAAGTTACCGAGGAAAGAACCAATTGTCTGATTTTACTCTCACAAAAGAATGACTAAAATCAAAGCACTAAAAAATACAACTGTCATCATCTCGTACATATATCTAAATTTGTAAAATATATATCAATTGCACAAGACAAGGGCTGTCCTAATAGCTTTGGAAATCAAATTAAAAAAGAAAAGCTCATTAATCATCAGCAACCACCAAACAGGCAATCCCTGTTTAGCAAGCACCAACTGCTGCAGATTCAAAGAACAAAATTACCTCAATTCCCCCATTTTAATATGGGGTACCTCCTTTTTCCAATCCACAGCTAACCTTTCTTTCCTTTTGCTTCTCAGACTTTGGAAGAAATCTGAGCGAACGTTCCAAGGAACATAATAGATTGGAAATACAGATTGATTATCAAGCCTAAACCAAGTGCCCAAAGTAGACCTAGAGGTTTTTTTTTCCCCCCATCAAATAAAGATCTTTCTAAGAAAGCCACAGGTTCATCTGAGTTTCTTAGGAAGTCTGAATGGGCAAAGATATTTCAGTAACTGTCCTTAACAAACCACAAATGCTTCACAGGAGCTTCAATAATTCGGACAAATAACTTCACATCATTCTCAGTGTACCATGTAATATTTGAATCCCACTGCATGTAGTAAATATGATACAGGCAGATATGAATGGTAACTACCATATATACACATACATGCAGAGACATACATTTATATTTATATAAAAATACCCACACAGCCACTTTTCAGGGCATGGTACTGGGTTCCCCTGTTCCCATGACTGAGGAATACCAGGAAATCCTTTAGTCCAACTAGAAGTGCATTAGAAAAGAAAAATTTGACATAATTTATAACAACTCAGATTTTCCTGGTCTACTTTTAAAAGTGGAAGGCTCCTGATTCCATCTATTCCATCTCCTAGGACCTACTGAAATGGACTGTCTCCTAGTATAGTACAAGGATCCCAGGTCTGCTATCAGACCTTTTCTCTCTTGCCTGCGGTCAGATTTTTTCTTTACATTGTGTTACTGTGTACATAGACCTTTAGACTTCCAAGAATATTGATCTGTAGCACCAATAAAGGGACTGTAAGTGATCATAACAGTAAGATTATGGTATTACTCAGAAGGTCAGCAGGGAAGTTCTTCCTTGTTACACTGAACATGGTCCCCTTTCTATAAGTGGTTTACAATAAGGAACAAAAATAAAACACGTCAAGTAAAAACATATCATCTCCACTTTATATATGGAGATCTTTAACAGAGGAATTAAGTATTTTGCTCAATGCTTCACAGCAAATCTGCAAAGTAAATAACTCAGTCTGGGAAATAATTCTATTTGAATAGAAGTTGTCAAAACTTTAGGTTTATTCAAATGGCTAAATTAGACTTCATTTCATGCACAAAAGTGGCACAAGAAAAAAAACAGTAAAAAAGCAAAGCCTTCTATACCAAGTGCCGTATTCATGCAATGATGTTTCCTGCCACAACAACAGAGATCAAAATTAAAATATTACAATTTTTTCCACTTTAACTTGCAATTGTTAGTCTGTTTTTTCTATGATGGAAAAAAAGATGACAGTGGGTATATCTTTAGTTTGTGGGCAGAATGACAGCTGGTCCAAAACTAACCATAGACAGTGGGAAAAGCTAAATTGGCACTTGTAATTAGGAGAATGAATGCCACCAACTGACTTTAGGATTTTTCTCTTCTCAGTAATCTAGGTGTGCTTGACAATCCACCCTGTAAGCAAATGCAAAAGAAGGCCAAAAGATACTAACAAAAGGTACTTAAAAAGTCCTACTTGAATGTAATCATATCAAAGCGTCTCTTCCAAACCAAGCCTTTCTGAAACAAGCCTGCAATACTGGTGACGAGCTAGCTCCAGTCTCATCTTTACAGGATGCCAATATTTTCTTTAAGCTTAAAATTAATGGGAAAAAGAACTATAAGACCTAACAGTTAGGAGTTATAGCCAAGATTTCCTCCTGCACGTTTCTTTTTCAGAGTTTTATTAAACATACATTAGAAAAGGTAGGAAGGCTACTGGAAAGTCAGGTAGAAGTCTAATTTTTTTTTTTTTTAAATCTTTAAACACTAAAATTTGGGGGGGGTTTGTTTTTTTAAGCACAGGGTAAAAGGAAAGAGTTCAGACTTTGAGGAGCTGCCAGACTATTGAGGCACAGTTATTAGTTAAAATTTCTTATTTCACCTGCATGGATGGATACTATTTTATCATTCCAAAATAAAGCCTAGCAAACACTGAGTTAGTTTTCTTAAAACTGCAGATATTTTAAAGTCTTCCCCTGCTCTAAAGCAAGAAACGGAGACCTTGTCAGATGTTTTTTCATACATGTCAGTATCTCTCACACATTGCAAGCTTACAGCAGACTAGCAGTGACAGTTTGTGACTATTTATTCAAACATTTGTGACAGAATTCATTCAATGCAGCCTAACTAAACTATTTGAGTCAATAACAAATACACACAACCCCCCCAAAACAAGCAAAAAGCCAACAAACAACAAATACCAAAACCAACAAACCAAATAAAAAACCCAACAACAACTCCACAGGCTTACCTTCTGATCTGAATTCTCATGAAACAACAGACCAAAATAGTCTTTTTCCAGTAAATTAAGATGTTCACATACTCTGTCAAACAGCACTTGACCTTTTGCTCTTTTCTGAAAAAATGAAAAGTATTATTAGTAAGTGCTTAATTTTACAAACAGATTCAGTTGACAAAACAGATTGCATAACAAGAGTACTGTAATTAGCAAGTATTAGCAAAATTTTAAATATCAATAAAACATTATAAAGCTTTCTTATGATACATTGTTTATAATATTTTGAGCACTATACATATCACTGACAAAAATAATTTTTTGAGGCGGCGAAAATTTATCAAAACCTGACTTGAATGTGTAGGTAAAGCTCCTTACCATTTTTATACAACTTAAGTGGCAAGAAACTCACTAAAGAACATGTGCAGAATTAGAAATGTACTTCAAAACTACTTTATGAAATATCATAACCATAACAAGCTTTATCCTTTTCAACTCAAAGGGGATATCATTCTATTCATGTGTAAACATAGAGAAAAGATGATTTCCTGCCTTCAGAAGAACGGCTAAAACAATCACAGAAAATGATCATTATGGTATAAGTTGGTGTTAATTCTTACAGTGGGACTGCCCTGTTGTAGCAGAGGAAAATTATGTTATAAAGAGTCCTCATTATCCATGATCTGCTTTCTCTTCTTTAGAGAAAGCATAAGGATTTTAAGGGAAAAATTATTTCAGCATTTCATAACATTAAATATTGCTAAATAGTTCTAAGATTAGTTTTTCTGCACCCTTATTTTTAAATTAGCTGAAGATTTCTTCATGATGAGCCAACTGTTTCTACGTTAATACATTCTAGAAAATTAATATGCTTCCTACACTATTAACTCCTGTCAACTGTGGCATTTCAGCATCCCTTCAACTACTTTTACAAATCATGGGATATAAAATCTCAAGAAAGCCAAAGCACCGCTACACTATCTTTGAGAAACAAAAAGAGTAAGACCACCACCATGAGTTAGTCAGCGATTAGAGCCTGGAAAATGAACTGCCCTATCTAAAACCTCACACAACTGAAAACCGTCATGGTGAACACTGCTTCCCATTTCCTATTTTTGAGTCAAAAAAGGAAACAAAGCAAAGCAAATCAAAACACCAACAAAAAATTGCAATCTCTCCCACACATTTCTCATGCAGAACATGAATAACTTATGTCTAACAGTCAATACTGCAGAGATTTTGAGGGGTAAAAAAAAAAAAAAAAAAAAAAAAAAGACGGCACTGCCTTCCATCTGCAGATTTGTGATCTCCCATAGTACCTGAAACACTCATCAGATACTCCAGAATAATAATAAGTCTCTCAGAAGTTTAGTCTGCCTAAAAATAATTTCTGCGGTATTCATTAATAAAAAAATGAAAATCAGATTTTAGTTGATGTTAATTTCAATATTGTAGTCAGCTACTTCATAACACTAATGAAACACAGATCATCCTTTTAACAGACACCCCTCAAAAGGCTGCTCTCTGTAATTCAGAAGTATTACAGACTAAACAAATTGCAATTAATCCTGAAGTTTTATCCGTCTTTCCTGTAGCAGTAACTGGTAATGTAAACAAGGTTATCCCATCTCTTCCTATTGCTGGTAATTAAAAGCAGGCGTATGTGCTATTTCTGGGTGCCAGACTTTGGGGAAAGGATTTGTTCTACTGGAGAGGGCAGCTGGCAAGAGACAAAATGAGGTTTTTTGACCCAGACAGCTTACAGCATATAATCGGGGGCGCGGAAGACTGGAATTTCTCTCCAAACTTAAAATACAGTCTGTTGCTGGAACATGAAGGGCATGCAGTCTCACATTTTGAGCCGAGTCCTACATGATCACGCTGCTATTTGTGGCATTTATCAATGTGGCGACAACATGGCATTTCTGGAAGCCTGACCGTTCAAAAGAATTTTTGTATTTGCTTACCCTACAGATTTCAGTAGATGCCATACGTTACTGCGATTCCAAAGAAACGCCATCAGCGGCCTGTGTGTAGGCTCTGGCCACACTGGAGTTATTGTGTCTAGCAGATAGTGACAGAGCACCCACAATATGCCTCAACTGGGTATTTCACTATAGCTCAAAATTACACTGTATAAAATATTAATGCTGGGAGAGCAAGGAGGGAAGGCAAGAGAAAAGAAGGTATGCACAAAACAAATAGTGAAGACATTGTTTTCTTCCCCTCTAAGAATCCAAAGCCTTATATTTT